CCTGAACTCTGGGCCTGGGCGCTGTCCCTCAGCTCTTCAGCTCAAGGCTAGCGCTCTACCACTTGAGCCACAGCGCCACTTCCAGCTTTTTTGTTTTTGCTTATGTAGTGCTGAGGAATTGAACCCAGGGCTTCAGGCATGCAAGGCAAGCGCTTTAACCACTGAGCCACCTTCCCAGCCCCCCTCCTATTTATTCTATCCTCACCCCAGGACCTGCTCCTGCCCCTTCTTCACTCCATCCAGAAATCCCTGTAGCTCTCGAGCTCTCTTGCTGTCCACAAACCGCTCTCGGATGCAGGCATCTAGGCACCAGGTGAACTGCAGGGAAGAGGCACAGTCAGGCCACCCAGCCCTCTAGAGGCAAGTCTCTATCACTCAGGCTCAGCTGCTGTCCAAGGGGCCAGGAGATGCATAGAGCCAAGTACAGAGACAAAACCACAGGCCAAGCCCCTATCCAGATCAAGCCCAGCCCCAGGGGGCTGCTGGAGAGTACCCAGGGAGTCATTCTGCCAGGAGGGCGGAAAGGAAGAAGCTTCCCAGCTGAGAGGGGCCAAAGCCACCGTTGTCTTCCAACTGATGATGAAGAAAACACATGATGAAGAAAAATAAATGTGGTGCCCATCTGCAGTGATGCAGAGAGCAGAGTGCAGACAGAAGGCTCCATTAAGCCTTCATGGAGACAAAGGGCATTCCTGGAGCAGCCAGTCTAGGCAGTGTACAGAGAAGGCACATTTGTTCTCTCTAAAAAAGCACCTTCTCGGGGCTGGGAAGGTGGCTCAGTGGTGGAGTGCTTGCCTGGCATGCATGAGGCCGTGGGTTCGATTCCTCAGCACCACATAAAGGCCAGAAGTGGTGCTATGGGGCTCAAGTGGTAGAGAACTCGCCTTGAGCTAAAGAGCTGAGGGACAGCGCCCAGGCCCAGAGTTCAGGCCCCACGACTGGCCAAAAATAATAATAATAATAATAATAAATAAAAAGCACCTTCTCAGCCGGGTGCCGGTGAGTCACATGTATGTATAATCCTAGCTACTCAGGAGGCTGCGATCTGAGGATCACGATTCAAAGCCAGCCCAGGCAGGAAAGTCTGTGACTCTTCTCTCCAATAAACCACTAGAACACTGAAAGTGGTGCTATAGCTCAAGTGATAGAGCACTCGCTTTGAGGTGAAATGCTCAGGGATAGCGCCTAGGCCGAGTTCAAGCCCCACGACTTTGAAAAAAAAAAAAAAGGCACTCTTTCATGGGTGCTAGGTAGAGTGACAATGCAGTGCTGAGCAGTAGGACTCCAACCAAGAAGAGTCATGCCAATGAGGAGGAGAGGGCAGGGCAGAAAAGCACATTCCTAGAGCACCCTGGAGCTCAGCGATGGCTCCAGATAGAAAGAAGGCAGCTAGGCAGAGACAGAAGAGCAGAGGGGACAGCCAGGTTGGCTGCCCAGCCTCCACCCACGGGAGTGGAAGAGGGGCTGCAGGGCCGGCAGAGGTGGCAGCAGGACAGCCATGTCTAGCTCAGCCTCCCGGAGGAGGCCCCTTCTCTGAGGTCCTGTGAACCCAGTGCATAGCTGGCAGCGACAGAAGACAGGGCAGGGTGAGAACCAGACCATTCCAGGACCACAGTGCCCCAGGGAGAAGCCCAACAGGACAGCATGTGGGCAGGGGCAGGCAGCATTACCTTGTGGCAAGGGTCCACGGAGCAGATGTCACCAACGTCCAGGTCATGCAGGGACATGAGCAGCTCGGCCCGCAGGGTGCAGTAGTGCACGTTCCTGGTGCGGAGGAACAGCGTGCGCAGGAACTGCAGCACCATGTCGTACAACTTCACGTTCTTCCCCACCATCTGCGTCAGCTTCTGCACCACCTGACGGGCCAGACAGGTGCTGAACCCAGCCCAGCCCAGCCTGGGCCACACAGACAGACCTGGGGCTCGATTCAGGGCCTGGGCACCATCCCTGAGCTTCTTTTGCTCAAGGCCAGCACTCTTCCACTTGGTCCACAATGCCACCTCCAGCTTTTTCTGTTTATGTAGTGCTGAGGAATCAACCCCAGGGCTTCATGTGGGCTAGGTGAGCACTCCACCATTGAGCCACCTTCCCAGCCCTGGACATCTCTTCTCATACCATGACATAGCAGGAAATCTAAGAAAGCCATAAGTCCAAAGAGCTAGAAGAAAGAAGCCAAGATACAAAGAAATAGAACAACCAGAAACCTCAAGAACTGAACCCAGCAGGGTCACACCTATAATCCTAGCTACTCAGGAGGCTGAGATCTGATGACCATAGTTCAAAGACAGCCTGGGCAGGAAAGTCCATGAGACTCTTATCTCCAATTAACCATTAAAAAGCCAAAAGTGGAGCTGTGGCTCAAGCAGCAGAGTGCTAGCCTTGAGCTAAAAAAGCTCAAAGATAGAGCCTGAACTCAGGTCCTGAGTTCAAGCCCCAGTATTGACATAAACTGAACCCAGAGGATTACCATCGTCCAAATGGACACGTGACAAGTCCCAGTAGGGACACACATCCCTCTAGAACCCTGTACTGTGTGAGGAGGGATACTAATCCACATAAAAGCAGGGCCTGAGGGCACCCTACAGTGAAAGACGGGCAGGGGTATATACTTGAGCCCAGGAGTTGGGGAAGAGCCCACTTGGAGGAGTTCTAACTGGGTAGGAGCTGCTTTTCCATGTCCTTGTGTCCTTCCTTCCAGCCACATGGGAAGAGCCCAGGCTTTCAGGAACAGATTAAACAATCCATCTGCTGGCAGAGAGCAGGCCAGCGTCATTGCTGTCACCGCTCCCGACAGGCACCCTGGCCTCCGTGAGCCCAGCCTCTCACCTCACCCTGACGCCTCGTCTTGGGAGAGGGGCTGAAGAAGTTGTGCAGGACAGAAAGCTCTGTGCTGAAGAGTGCACTCTCCTTCTCCAAGATGTACTGCTTCAGCAGTGGGGAGACTTCATCACCGAAGAGTGCCTGATTGTCCTGCCAGATCTGCCGCTTCACCTCCACAGCACATGCTCGGTACAGCTCCTTGTCTGCCATCACCAACTTCAGCTTCTTCTCAGGTACCTACAGAACCCACGCCATATCCTCCTGCAAGTGGTGCCTGTGTTTCCAAGTCTCCCACCAGGCAAGCCAAGCAGCCTCAACCCAGAACCCAGCCCCACCCAACAGGGTCGTTCTCCACCAGCCTCCCAAGCCCCAGTAGGTATAGACAAGACAGAGCTCCTTCCAAGAAAAGCCCTCCATACCAACTCAAGACTCAGATTCATAGACAGATGCTGGTGGCTCACACCTGTAATCCTAGCTACTCAGGAGACTGAGATCTGAGGATCATAGTTCAAAGCCAGCCCAGGCAGGAAAAGTCCATGAGACTCTTACCTCCAATAAACCATCAGAAAACTGGAAGTAGCGCTGTGGCTCAAGTAGCAGAGTGCTGGCCTTGAGCTGAAGAGCTGAGGGACAGTGCCCAAACCCAGAGTTCAAGCCCCATGACCAACAAAAAAAAAAAAAAAAAACTCAGATTCAGTTCCATCCAGGCACCAGAGGCTCATGCCTGTACTCCTAGCTACTCAGGAGGCTGAGATCTGAGGATCACAGTTTGAAGCCAGCCAGGGCAGGAAAGTTTGTGACAGTCTTATCAACCAACCACCAGAAAACAGGAAGTAGCACTGTGGCTCAAGTGGTAGAGCGCTTGCCTTAGTTTAAGAGCCCAGACGCAGAGTCCAAATCCTACCACTGACCAAAAAAAAAGATTCAGTTTCCACATGGTGCCTGGGGAGGCCCGAGAGAACAGCACTTGGGCAAGCTCAGCAAACCTCCCAGAACTAAACAGCCACCTAAACCAGGTGCATGGTCCGATTTCTAGCAATCGAGGGCATGCTTGCCACACGGCACCTTGATGGAGGCACCACAGCCTCCCCTGAGAGGGACGGCCCTCCAGTGCTCACCTTGGGCAGGTGTTTCATGACGCACATGACCACTGGCTGCAGGGATGGCATCTTGACCAGAGAAAAGCTCTTCTCTAAAAGATCCTCCAGCTTCTTGTACCTGGGGAAACTTTCAGCTCTCGGTATGCAGAACACATGCACACACAGCTCCACCTCTACAAAGAGACCTGTGCCGCCAAGGGAGCACAGACACTGCCCAGCAGGTCCCAGGATAACGGGTGGTTGCAGGCGGGCACCTATAGTCCTAGTCACTAGAGAAACCAAGACCTGGAAGATCACGGTTAGCAGCCACCCACACAGAAAACACGAGAGGACGGGCTGGGAAGGTGGCTCAGTGGTAGGGCGCTTGCCTTGCATGCCTGAGGCCCTGGGTTCGACTCCTCAGCACCACATAAGCAGAAAAAGAAAAAAGCCGGAAGTGGCGCTGTGGCTCAAGTGGTAGAGTGCTAGCCTTGAGCTGAAGAGCTGAGGGACAGTGCCCAGGCCCAGGGTTCAGGCCCCACGACCAGACCCAAAAAAAAAAAAAAAAACAAAACAAGAAAACACGAGAGGATCCGTGTCCACAGCAAGCAGCAAAAGGCAGAGCTGGAGGAGCGTTTTGGGTGGCTGAGCACCAGTCTAGCAAGTGCAAGGCCGTGAACTACAACCCAATACCGTCAAAAGGAAAACGAAGTGGCTGCAAGGCCTCCCGGCCCGGGGCAGCTGGCGGAGGGAAACCCACCTTTCGTCGGCCTTCCCCTCCGAGGCGATGGCTGACACTCGCTCCAGGAGTTTGTCCCGCAGCTCGTCAAACACCGACTGGTGGAACTCGAGGCGTGGCGTCCCGTGCAGGTCCAGGAAGGGCAGGGCCGACTGCAGGGAGGGCAGGAGGACGCCGTTCTCCGTCTGAGGAGGCAGGGGTCAGTGGGTTTC